GACTTACTATTCAAATTAAAAAAAGACCACTTTCAAAATATTCCTGCTCATTGACAATGTACTTGATCACCCAAGAGCTCTGATGAAGGTGTACAATGTCCTGCTAACACAATGTCCGTTCTGTAGTTCATGGATCAAGGGGTAATTTTCAAGTCTGATTACTTAAGAAATACATTTCGCTGGGCGCAGAGGCTCATATCTGTAATCCCAGCACTTTGGGAGGCCGAGGCGGGTGGATCACGAGGTCAGGGGTTCGAGTCTAGCCTGACCAACATGGTGAAACCCCGTCTCTACTTAAAAATACAAAAATTAGCCAGGTGTGGTGGTGCGCACCTCTAATCCCAGCTATCTGGGAGGCTGAGGCAGGAGAACTGCTTGAACCCAGGAGGCAGAGGTTGCAGTGAGCAGAGAGTGTGCCATTGCATTCCAGCCTGGACGACAGAGCGAGACTCTGTCTCAAAAAAAAAAAAAAAAGAAACATTTCATAAGGCTATAGCTGCCACAGGTAATAATTCCTTTGATGAATCTGGTCAAAGTAAACTGAAAACCTTCCACAAAGGATTCACCATTCTAGATAACAGTAAGAACATTCAGGCCGGATGCAGTGGCTCACGCCTGTAATCCCAGCACTTTGTGAGGCTGAGGCAGGTGGACCATCTGAGGTCAGGAGTTCAAGACTAGCCTGGCCAACATCATGAAACCCCATCTCTACTAAAAATACAAAAAAAAAATTAGGCATGGTGGCGGCACTTGTAATCCCAGCTACTCAGAAAGCTGAGGCAGGAGAAGCGTTTGAACCTGGGAGGCGGAGGTTGCAGTGAGCCAAGATCATGCCATTGCACTCCAGTCTGGACAAGAGCAAAATTCCATCTCAAAAAAAAAAATTAATAAAAAGAACATTCATGACTCATGGGTGAAGTCAAAATATCAACATTAACAGGAGTTTGGAAGAAGCTGATTACAACCCTCATGGATGACTTTGAGGGGTTCAAGACTTCAATGGAGGAAGTAATTGCAATTTGGCAAAAACAGCAAGAGAACTAGAGTGACTGAATGGCTACAATCTCATGATAAAGCTTGAACAAATGAGGAGTTCTTATGCATAAGCAAGGAAAGTGGTTTCTTGAGATGAAATCACCCCTGGTACAGATGCCATGAACACTGTTAAAATTACAACAAAGGCCGGGCACTGTGGCTCCCAGCACGTTGGGAGGCCGAGGCAGGCGGATCACAAGGTCAGGAGTTTGAAGCCAGCCTGACCAACATGGTGAAACCCCATCTCTACTAAAAATTAAAAAATTAGCAAGGTATGGTGGCACACGCCTATAATCCCAGCTACTTGGGAGGCTGAGGCAGGAGAACTGATTGAACCCGGGAGGTGGAGGTTGTAGTGAGCTGAGATCGTGCCACTGCACTCCAGCCTGGCAACAGAGCAAGACTCTGTCTCAAAAAATAAAACAAAATGACAACAAAGAATTTATAAGATTACAGTAGATATCAAGTCGTTTGTAAAGCAGCTGCAGGGTTTGAGAGGACTGACGTCCATTTTGAAAGAAGTCCTACTGTGGGTAAATTGCTACCATTTTCTCTCTGTAGCACTGCATGCTACAGAGAAAACCTTTATGAAAGGAAGAGTGCCACAGAGAAGCAAACCTCATTGTCTTACTTTAAGAAATTGCCATCTATGGCCATACCACCCTGAACGTGCCCGATTTTGTTCAAACTCGGAAGCTAAGCAGGGTCGGGCCTAGTTAGTACTTGGATGGGAGACCGCATAGCAATACCAGGTGCCGTAGGCTTTTGGCTCTTCCACTTCCTGTCTTTTATTTATGTATTTATTTATTTTAAATAAATAAATAAAGAAATTGCCACAGCAACCCTAACCTTTAGCAACCACCCTGACCAGACTAGTTAATAACCATCAACATCTAAGCATGATCTTCCACCAGATCATTGGCGTTTTTCAGCAATATTTTAAAATTAAGGTGTAAGAAAAATAAATAAATAAATAAATAAAATTAAGTTGTGTGTGTGTGTATATATATAGTTTTGTTTCAGCTTTTTTTGAGACGGAGTCTCACTCTGTTGCCCAGGCTGGAATGCAGTGGCGTCATCTTGGCTCACCACAACCTCCACCTCCTGAGTTCAAGCGATTCTCCTGCCTCAGCCTCCAGAGTAGCTGGGACTCCAGGTGCATACCACCACACTCGGCTAATTTTTGCATTTTTAATAGAGACGAGGTTTCACTGTTGGCCAGGCTGGTCTCAAACTCCTGAACTCGTGATCTGCCTGCCTTGGCCAGGCTTTGTTGTTCCATTCATAGAGCACAGGCAGAGTAAGTTCAGCTTTCCAAAGTGCTGGGATTATACCTGTGAGCCACTGTGCCTGGCCTTATATGTGTGTGTTTGTGTGTGTGTGTGTGTTTTTAAAGACAAAATGCTATTGCATACTTAATAGGCTACACTATTGTGTAAACATAACTTTTATATATACTGGGAAACCACAAAATTTGCGTGACTTATTTTATTGCAACATTCCCCCAATTGCAGTGGTCTGCAACTGAAGCCACAATATGTTAGGTGTGCCTGTACAGGTGTGTAAAGGAGTTCAACATGATTACCACTCAAGCTAATAAAACGAAATAGGACCATGCTCCCTACAACTTGTTCTATGTGTAATGTTTCATTCTTTGGGGTTACTCATTGCTACAGTGACAAGGCAAGAAAGAAAAAGGAGTCATTAGGCTCAATAAATCCAAAAAGTAGCACAAGTGTTTCTAATCAGAGATTTTCATGTCCTTGGGGGAGAAAAATGGCCTTGTCAGCCTCCACTTTGAGGACAGTGGGAAGGAATATGAGACTCTCTGGCTAGGTTGCCACGTGTAGCTAAAACTCAGAATTAAGTCATCAGCAGCAGCTTTATTATTTTCACCATTACTGTGACTATTACACAGACTGTATTATTATTACTGGCTGAGCGCGGTGGCTCACGCCTGTTAATCCCAGCACTTTGGGAGGCCAAGGTGGGCAGATTACAAGGTCAGGAATTCAAGACCATCCTGGCCAATATGGTGAAACCCTGTCTCTACTAAAAATACAAAAATTAGCCAGGCGTGGTAACAGGCTGTAGTCCCAGCCACTGGGGAGGCTGAGGCAGGAGAATTGCTTGAACCTGGGAGGCAGAGGTTACAGTAAGCTGAGATCATGCCATTGCACTCCAGCCTGGGCGACAGAGCAAGCTTCAGTCTCAAAAACAAAACAAAACAAAAGAAAAAAAGAATTTGCATGAATAACACCCACAGATGACCCCGAATCTTGATGCATTCCTTCTCTAACCATTTCACAAGCACCTATTATATGCTGGGACCAAGGATATAGCACCAAAGAGGCAGCTGTCTGCCCTCATGTAGCTTATATTCCAGGTGGATGAGACAGACAAGAAATGAGCAAACAAGTAGTTTCAGGTTATAATCAGTGTTACCTAAAACAGCACGACAGAGGGGGTGTTTTTTGCCCTCTATGCTGGCCTCAGACTCTAACCATTAGGATGAGTCTCAACAACATGCAAGTTAAAACGTAATGACCTGGCATGTAATTCCAGTGCTTTGGGGGTGGGAGTGGAATGAGCTGGAGTTGGGGGGGGGAGGTTGGGGGTTTGGAGGGCTTGAGTCCAGGAGTTCCAGAATAGCCTGGGTGACAGAGGGAGGCCCTGTCTCTACAAAATAAAATTAGCCGGGCATGGTAGCGCACACATGGGGCCCCAGTTACTCTGGAGGCTAAGGCAGGAGGAACGCTTGAGCCCAAGAGGCAGAGGCTGTAGTGAGCTGAGATGGTGCCACTTAACTCCAGGCTGGACAACAGAGCGAGACCCCATTTCCAAAACAAAATAAAAATAAAAAGAAGACAGAACAAGGCAAACTAAATAAACGGTCCCTTAAAGTCATCCGCCACATAATAAAGAGCCTAGGAAACTTATTTTACTACAGAGGCAGGGGAGGAGAGTGGGGAGGAAAATGGGAGAGGGGAAGGAGGAAGGAAAGGCAGAAAGACAAGCAGGCCACGACTTTAAGAAAGAAGGCTAGAGGGAAAGGGAAGAGGATGTGAATGGAGGAGGTGGGCCGCCTGCTTGGGGAAACTGCATGGTGGAACTCGTTCCTAAGCCCAGTTCGGAGGGAGGCGAAAGAGGCTTGCCCGCCACCTCCAGGTTGTCCCGAGGGGCTCTCTCTGCCAGTCCCCGAGCCTGGGCACCCTTCTCCGCGAGAGAGGGAAGGCTGGGGCCCAGGGGCGGGGACTGGGGCAGGGACAGCCCGGCCTGCGGCTCCCAGTTCGCTCAAGGCCCGGAGAACCCTGCAAACCTAGCTGGGCGGTGGGGCTGGAAACCAGCACTGATTCCCCTCCGGCTCCTCCGGCGGCTGCCCGGGAACCCGGCTCCACCTTTGCCGTTCCGGGAAAAGCGGACATCAGCCACAGACCCCAGCCCCGCAGGAGGGGCGGTGCGCGGGGAGGGGCTCACGACACCTTGGAGCCTCGCGCGGGCGGTGCTGATCCCGAGCCCGCCTCTCCGGAGCCCCACCCCTAGCCCCTGGCCAACCGGCGCGCGGCGCCGCAGCCCACCTCCTTCTCCTCCTCCTCGCCCCATCCCCTGGCTTCCGCCCCAGCCGCACCGCCCCTCTACCTTGTGGGTCGCGCCCGCGCGATTGCATCAGAGCCGGCTGCCGGCGGCCCACGTGGAGCCGGGCGTGCGATCCGTGCTCCTAGGCACCCTTCGGGGTCGCCCACGCCCGCCTGCATTCCGGGCCCGGCCGGGTCCTGGATCCCCCGTTCTGCACCAGCGCGCCCGGCCGCAGTCCCCGACCTCGCGCTTCCCGACACACAGCCCAGAGTCCCTAACGAGTTGGCACCAAGCACTCGCAGCCCCGCGCCCCGTACCCCACCGCGGCTCCGGGCGCCCCGCCCCTGGGCCTGGGCCGCTGCCGCTGGAGAACTGGGCCCGACACTCACCTGACGATCGAGTCTCGCATCGCGGGCGTGCGGCCGCCCGGGCTGCAGCTGCTCGGGGCCTGGCCATTCTGCAGCCGCCGCTGCCCGAGCAGGCCCTCCCCGCCACCGCTGCCCCCTCCGCCGCCGCCGCTGCTGGCGCGACAGGGCACATGGAGGCGGCGTGGCGGGCCCGGAGGCTGCAGCGGGCAGCGGAGCTGGCGCAAGACGAGCAGCAGGCGCTTGCCCATGGCGCGGCGCGGCGGGTCCTCCTGGGATGCGGAGCTGCGGCTGGCGACGGCGGCTGGGCGCGTGCCAGGCGAGCCGGCGGGCGGCGGGAAGGACCTGGCGCTTCCTCCTCGCCCGCAGGGGCCCCTAGGGGGCACTGCACCCGGCGGCGGTGACGTGCGGAGGGCGGGGGCCTGCGGGACGCCGGGCGGCTCGGAGGAGCGGCTGGGATGTCACCGGCCGGCTTCGGGCACCTTCGTTTGTTCAGCTGTACCAGACAGAGGGTGGGGCCCGGGGTGGGGCTCAGACCTTGCCCTGAGACTCTGCCTACCCCGTTTCGTCCTTTAAGGCGACCCTTGGTCCTCAGGGCGCCAAGTTTAGACGGGAGGGCTTAGATTTGCTCTGCTGGAGATGGCCTGCGGGTAAGAGGCTTTGTAACTTTAGGCAGGGCGCCTAATCTCGCTGAGCCTGCGCGCCTTCGTCAGTACAACAGAGAGAACAACACTCTTCTTAAAATTTTAAAAGAATTTTATATTCCTGATTGGTTCCAGGGACCCCTCCAGGGGACACACATCCACAGATGCTCAAGTCCTTGGTTTAAAAAAAAAAAGTATTTACATGTCGGAAGTGGTGGCTCACGCCTCTAATCCCAGCATTTTGGGAGGCTGAGGCGGTTGGATCACCTGAAGTCAGGAATTCAAGGCCAGCCTGGCCAACATGGTGAAACCCCGTCTCCACTAAAAATACAAAAATTAGCTGGGCGTGGTGGTGCACACCTGTATTCCTACCTACTTGAGAGGCTGAGGCAGGAGAATTGCTTGAACCTGGGAGGGAAAGGCTGCGGTGAGCTAAGATCTTGCCACTGCACTCCAACCTGGGCGACAGATCGAGACTCTGTCTCAAAAAACAAACAAACAAAAAGAAAGTAGGGCCTTTTTGTTGTTGTTGTTATATTTGTACAACTATTTTTATGACAGCATTGTTTGCAATAGCCAAAAGGTAGAAGCAAGTCAAGTGTTCATCAGTGGGTGAATGGGTAAATAAAATATGGTATATATAGACAAGAGAATATTAGCCTTAAAAAGGAAGGAAATTCTGACACATGCTACAATATGGATAAAGCTTGAGACACAAAAAGACAAATTCTGCGTGATTCCATCGATGCGAGGTTCCTAGAGCAGTCAAAGTCCTGGAGACAGAGGAATGGGGATAGGAGGGAGCAGGAAGTAGCTGTTTAATGGATACAGAGTTTTTGTTTTGATAGTTGGAAAGAGTTCTGGAGATGGATGGTGGTGATGACTGCACAACAATGTGAATGTACTTAATGTCACTGAACTATATGTATGTGTGTGTGTGTGTGTATATATATATATATATATATATATATATATTTTTTTTTTTTTTTTTTTTTCCCAGACAGAGTCTCACTCTGTCGCCAGGTGGCAGGCTCGAGTGCAGTGGTGCGATTTTGGCTCACTGCAACCTCCGCCTCCCGGGTTCAAGCAATTATCCTGCCTCAGCCTCCCGAGTAGCTGGGACTAGAGGCACGCACCACCACACCGAGATAATTTTTGTATTTTAGTGGAGATGGGATTTCACGATGTTGGCCAGGATGGTCTCGATCTTTTGACCTCATGATCCACCCACCTCGGCCTCCCAAAGTGCTGGGATTACAGGCATGAACCACTGTGCCGCATGGGCTGAACTATATATTTTAAAATAGTTAGGATGGTAAATTTTAGCCGGACGCGGTGGCTCATGCCTGTAATCCCAGCACTTTGGGAGGCTGAGATGGGTGGATCACCTGAGGTCAGGAGTTTGAAACCAGCCTGGCCAACATGGTGAAACCCCATCTCTACTAAAAATACAAAAAATTAGCTGAGCATGGTGGCGGGTGCCTGTAATCCCATCTACCCGGGAGGCTGAGGCAGAAGAATCACTTGAGCCCAGGAGGCAGAGGTTGCAATGAGCTGAGGCTGCACCACCGCACTCCAGCCTGGGCAAGAGTGAGACTCCATCTCAAAAAAAAAAAAAAAAAACAAAAGATGGTAAATTTTATGTGCATTTTACCACCATCTTAAGGGGGACTCCGTGTTTGGATCCGCTTCCATGAACACTCATGCTCGTAGAAGCTGTTTTTTCTATCCTGGATTTTCCCTCCGGAGTCCCCTTCCACGAACACTCCCTTCGTGGAAGCCTGTCTTCCCCTCCTAAACTCCATCTCTCTCTATTCCCTTCCACTCAGGCTGGAAGCTGCCTTCCTCTCCTGGATTCCATCTTTCTGGATTTTCTCTCAGTGTGAGAGTTAGCTGTTTCTTTCCCTCTCCTTCTCCTGTTTCTCTCTCTCTCTCTCAAAAAAAAAAAAAAAAGAAAAAGAAAAAATCAAGAAGGAGGTGGAGAAACATCTCCAATTGGTGATCTAAGCTAGAGTCAATTCCTATTGTTTACAACAAACCACTCTGTTGTTTTGTACAGTGGTTAAAGTGAATGCGGGTGAAGGTCACTGGCCATGAGCAAGTCAAGGAAATAAGGGGCTGGATGTTGGGCAAGTCATCCATCAAAATATCCATCAAGTAGAGATTTTCTAGATATTTTAAGGATGGTGATCATATATAAAGGTAGAGAGTATAGGATGATAAAAAGACTGACTCAGCTGGGTGTGATGGCTCACGCCTGTAATCCAAGCACTTTGGAGGCCAAGGCAGGCGGATCACCTGAGGTCGGGAGTTCAAGACCAGCCTCATCAACATGGTAAAACACCGTCTTTAAAAAATAAAAATTAAAAAAAGAGACTGACTCTAAGCTGCGGGCTAACACCTTGACTGAATGAGGCCAATTGGGAAGAAGGTGAATGGATGATAGCAGTCAGGTGACCCAAAGATTTGCATTCCAGGGCAGGCACGGTGGTTCACGCCTGTAATCCCAGCACTTTGGGAGGACGAGGCAGGTGGATCACCTGAGACCAGAAGTTTGAAACCAGTCCGACCAACATGGTGAAACCCTGTCTCTACTAAAAAGACAAAAATTAGCTGGCTGTCATGCCATCTGCCTGTAATCCCAGCTACTCAGGAGACTGAGGCAGGAGAATCGCTTGAACCTGGGAGACGGAGGTTGCAGAGAGCCAAGATCTCACCATTGCACTCCAGCCTGGGCAACACAAGCAATACTCAAAAAAAAAAAAAAAAAGATTTGCATTCCAAGTAGCCACCATTCAATAGTTCATTCATTCATGAGGGCAGAGAAGGAATGTCTCCAGCCACTGCATGGATCCATGAAGCACTGATTCCACCTCTTGAACTTGAGGTGTTGGATTTTGGGAGAATGAATAGCCTTCATTAAGAGGTCCCAAAGGAGAAACATCCTTAAGGGACAGCAAAGTATTAGTTTTTTGTTGTTTTTTTAAATAGAGATGGGGTTTTACCATATTGGTTGGCCAGGCTGGTCTCCAACTCCTGACTTCAGGTGATCCACCTGCCTCGGCCTCCCAAAGTGCAGGGATTACAGGCATGAACTACCACACCCGGCCTAGAGTTAGTTTAAGAAATAAATGAATTGGTCAGGTGTGGTGGCACACGCCTGTAATTCCAGCACTTTGGGAGGCTGAGGCAGGCGGATAGATCACCTGAGGTTGGGAGTTTGAGACCAGCCTGACCAACATGGAGAAACCCTGTCTCTGCTAAAAATACAAAATTAGCTGGGCATGGTGCTGCATGCCTGCAATCCCAGTTACTGGGGAGGCTGAGGCAGGAAAATCCCTTGAACCTGGGAGGCAGAGGTTGTGGTGGGCCATGATTGCACCATTGCACTCCAGCCTGGGTAACAAGAGTGAAACTCCGCCTCAACGAAAAAGAAATGAATTGTAGGAACTGGTTATTAAAATATAGGGATGTAGAGGAGTTCAATATGGAACTTAAAGTGATCCAGAGCACACAGAGAAAAGAAATGGGAAGAATAGCAGCAGTGAGAAGGTGAGTCAGGAGAGAGAACGCAGGGTGGGAGGCTAGCCAGGAAGAACGATCAGAGCAGCAGCAACCCAGGGTAACAGTGTGAAACCTGGTGGTTTATGTAGCTCCAAAAATGCCAAAGAGACAGACCCAGCAAATACTGGAAGGCTACACATGTAGACAGGTCACTTGGATAAAACAAGGACCAATACAGTTTGCACTTCCATGGGAGTTTGTTCTGTGAAAGGGTTGTATATACACAGCAACCCCCAAATGCAGAAGGAGCCTAGAAACCAAAGGAGACAGAGAAATCCAATTTGTGGGCCATGCTCCGTGGCTCATGCCTATAATCCCAGCACTTGGGAGGCCAGGGCGGGAGGATCACCTGAGGTCAGGAGTTCGAGACCAGCCTGGCCAACATGGGGAAACCCTGTCTCGACTGAAAAAAAAAATATAAAAATTAGCCAGGCGTGGTGGCAGGTGCCTGTAATCCCAGCTACTCAGGAGGCTGAGGCAGGAGAATCGCTTGAACCCGGGAGGCTGAGGTTGCAGTGAGCAGAGATCATGCTACTGCACTCCAGCCTGGGGGATAGAGTGAGATTCTGCCTCTGAAAAAAAAAAATAAAAAAAGAAATCCAATTTGTAGGTTTTGTGTGATTTATTAGGGGAACTTACAAACAGAAACGTGGTCTTTAGAGACTACAAGATAGGTAGATCTCTTTGCCGCAAGCCTGTAGACCCAGGACTTACATCTTAGGGAAAAACACATGTGAAGGAGTGTGGAGGCGGCTACCAGCATCACAGCCTATGATTTCTGCAACAGCCTCCAGGGTTGTTTTGAAGGAAACTTACAGTGAATGGGTATTTCTACATAAAGATAATACATAAACTTGACATTCTGGAGGCATTCCCAGACTCGGGGTTAGTCAATGGATTGGCATTTAAAATAAAGTCACTCTTGTCCCCACCAAGAGTTATCCTCGTTAATGAAGGAGGAAGCTTTGGTCTCCCAGGAAGGACTACCTGGGCCATGAGTGGTTTGCTGGGCTTGGGGAGAAGCTCTGGTTTGATGCAGCTTTTTCCGAAGCTCCCAGGGAGTGTGACCTGGACCTGGTCTGATTGTTTAGGCTGGAAAGCACAGCTCCAGAAGGTGCAAGCCTGGTCCGTGGGAGTATGGGTAGCATACACACCAAAAATGCTCAGCAAAATC